GACCCCCGTCCACCCGGGACCCGGACCCCCGTCCACCCGCGCACCGAGGCGGAGACCGACCCTGCAGGTCACGAGGCCTTTCCCCGTGGAGAGGACGGCGCCAGGGCGGGGGACACACGGGGACTGACTCACGGACACACAAGGACTCACGGACACACGGGGTCGGGAGGACTGACTCACAGACACACGGGGACTCACGGACACACGGGGTCGGGGGGACTGACTCACACACAGGGACTCACGGACACACTGGAGTGGGGGGACTTCCCGGCCAGGTGACCACCAGGGTCAGTCGGACCTAGCGTCCGGGCCCGGCGCTCCTTACCCCAATGAGGTAAATCTTGTCCAGGCTGAAGTTAGGGATAATGGTCACGAGCTCTTTCTCGGCCAGAAACTCCACCTCGGCGGCGTCCATGGCTCCGGCCGCGGTCAGCACCTCAGCGTCCCTTCAGCGGAGACGCCCCGAGCCACAGTTTCCCGCCACGGCGCAGGGCCCGCCCCCCGCCGGAAGAGGCCTCCCCGGGACCAATGGCAGAGCAGAGCTCTCCGAGGAGCGGCGAGAGGCGGAAAGCGTGGTTGTTACGAGCCTGACGAGTGGTCGAGCCGCTGCAGACCCCGCCCCGCGGGCGGGCGGGGCTCTCGCTGCGCGCGCCGCGTGCCCGTGGCCGTGCGTGGGTCTCGTGCCCCGTAGCACGCACCTGCGCGCGTCCTCCCCGGGCCCGTGCGCGCCCGCAGCAGCCGCTCATGGGCGGCAGGTGCGCTCGCTGGGCCGCGCTCAGGAGCCCTAGAGATGCCGCCGTGAACGCGGGGAAGAAGTGGAGCTCACCAGCGGCTAAGACCTGGCCATCTCCTCCTGTAAAAAGAAAACCCTTGGGGCAGTTCAGCTGGACTCTGCCCTACAGGGTCACAGAGCCAATGAAAGCTCCCGTGGCCAGAACTGAAACAGAGTGAACCTGAAACTCTGATTATAACCCCTTGTGTAAGATTAATAACCGTTAATATACTCAATATAATACAATGGAGCCTCTTAAAAATATCTCCTTGGAAGAGTAGAGTGTGAGCGCAGGAGAGGGAGACCCTGGGTGAGATGGATTGCACAGTGACTGTCGCAAAGGAGGCAGGTGTGTCAGAGACAGACTGGCTCAGGACAGGGCAGGGTTCAGAGCTACTGCTCATAGTGTCGCTATGAGCCGTAGTCGACTCAGTAGTGCATAACAAGAACATACATGTTCCATTCTTCCTCCCAAAAACCAAGGTTAATAAGTCCACAATGTTAAAAGCCAACACTCCTGCCATCTAGCTGGTTCTAACTGGTGGGGACCCTGCAGGACACAGTGGAACTGCCCTGCAGGACAGAGTGGAACTGCCCCACAGGATTCCATGCTGTAAATCTTTATGGAAGAACACACTCCATCATCTTCCTCAGGAGAAGTGGTGGGCCAAACTGCTGACCTTTCGGTTAGCAGCCAAATTCTTTAACCACTATGTGGCCAAGGCTCATGTACTGTTAAAGATAAGTGATTAGAAAAATAAATGGGGCTGAAAGGCAAATATACCACATAGAAGAATTCGCCATACTTAAATGCACAGTCAACACTCTTGGCACCAGCATCCAGGAAATTAAAAGACATACTGCGATGGGAAAGTCTGCTGTTAGAGACCTCTCCAAAGTACTGAACAGCAATGATGTTACTCTGGAGATTGAGGTGTGCCTGATACAGGCTATGGTCATTACTTGCTATGCGTCAGAGAGCTGGACAATGACTAGGGAGGATAGAAGGAGAATTGATTGATGCCTTTGAGCTGTGGTGCTGGAGAAGAGTATTGAATGTACCACAGACTGCTAAGAAAGCAAACAGCTTGGTCCTAGAGAGGGCTAAAACAGGCTGCTCCTTGGAGGCAAGGATTCTGAGGCTCCATCTAACATATTTTGGACATGTTGCAAGGAGGGACCAGTCCTTGGAGAGGGACATCGTGCTTGGGAGGGTGGAGGGACAGTGCATGAGAGGAAGACTCTATGAGATGGATTGACTTAGTGACTGGGGTAATGGGGGTGAGTGTGTTAGAGACAGTGAGATTGGCACAGGATAGAGCAGGGTTTAGGACTATTATTGTACATAGGATCGCTATGAGTCGCAGGAAACTTTATGGCATATAACAACAATAATGCAAGTTCCCCAAAGTGAGATGTGAGATGTGGGGGTTGCTGTGCAGAGTGACTCCCAAAGAGGACTGTACGGAAGACCCTGCAAAGTTCTGTGACACACATGAGGGGTCACTGTAAATGGGAGTCCCTTCAGCAGCAGCTGGTAGTGGTAGTGTTGATGGTGTTAATGGTATTGATGGTGCTTGGTGCCCCAAAGGGAAATTAATAGAAGCAAAGCAAGACAGACAAGCCTGCCGGATCTCAAAGTCCTACCCTAAAAGTCTTTCAAGAACTGATGTAGACCCCCAAAGACAATAGGTAGCCAGGTGAGCGGTGCAGGTGGGAAGCACCATGAAGTGATATGTATTTGAGAAAGAAAATGTTGTACTATCCGGAGTTGGGGCTCAGATACAACCTAGCAACTGTGAGGAGTTGGATAGTAGATAAATCATCTGGAGGCAAAAACACAAGAGGGTTTAAGTTGAAATCATGGAGCACCGTCCAGTTTCAGCTGGATCTTGTCATGCTACTAGAGCACAGCTCGAGCCCATATAAGATTAAAAAAAAAAAAAAGCTGGTCAGCCTGATTAGTACTTAAGACACATGACTTCCTAAACAGCTGATGGGAGTGAGAACACCCAGCAAATCAAACCATTGGCCTAAATGCCACTCACCTGCTTTGCATGAAACATATTCAAGGAAGATGAAGACTGGCTACCTGAACCCATGACCCTGGTAGCCCAACATTCTCTCCACGTCTTTCCTTCCAAGGAGGGGCCCCGTTCCTTTCTTTCAAACATACTTTGTCTAATAAATTACCTCTGCATTCACCTTCACTCTTGTCTGCTCACTTTCTTTCTCCCTAAGTCAGAAGTCCCTCAGCTCGGCAGCCATTCAAGGGTCTGAAACTCCAGCACTCTTGAGAGACACTGAAATTGCTGCACACCCCGGGGTCTCTGCCCCACAGCGCCCCTGTGGTCTCCCACCCAGCTCAATTCTTGTTCCTCTCAGGGAGGCCAAAGCCAAGGCATTCACCGCATGCTAACAACAACTAGAGAGTCCCTTGGCATTGGGAGCAGAAAGTTCAGGTGAGGACAGATGCTGGCCTGACCTTAGGCAGTAATCACAGTAACCCAGGTTCTAGGTATTTACTGTCTGTGCTGTGTCCAGAATGAAGAGGCCCAGGGAAGTTTCCAGAGCCAAACAGATGGCCGCAGGTATTTCCCCATCCACCTGTGGCTCTGCCTGGCCTGGCCATGAGCCTGCCCTCCCGGGGGGCCTGCGTTTTCCCTCCTGCAGCTTGAGGGGCTGCTGGGTTTGGCGGGGGAGCCATCGCGCCAGCCCCCGTGTGCATATCACGCCAGAGCCAGGCGCTCGCACATGGCTCTGACATGGTGTGACTACACTCTTGTGTCTTTTTGCCATCTGCTGCTGTCATTAAAAAATTACATTTCCATCTGCTTCCACGCTCTGCTCTCCTCCCAGCCTCCATTCCTGGAGGAATAGCGTGAGAATCCCAAGTCGCTGGAGCAGAATGTTCCCTTGACTCTCTCAGAACCCGGACCTTTAAGGGGGCACATGAGGAGGGGCTGGTGGCGAGGGCTCCAGGGCTTTTTGTCGGCACCAGTGCTGAGAATTCCCATCCCTGTTTCTTCTCTGCTCGCCATTGACCAGGGCCCTTGTAAGCACCCTCCCCCAACCACTCACTTTGGGGGAGTCATTCACAAAGCTTTTTTAATTGTCAGTTTTAATCACTGTGCTTGGGTTTGGTGTTAAAAATAAAGGAAAAACAAACTACAGACATAAGCAGTCACTCCTCTAGGGTGTTATTTAAGGAAAATCTCCCAAAATGAAATCCAGCACCGTCATCAATTCCAACTCCTGGGGACCCCAAAGGGCAGAGCAGAACCGTCCCATAGGGTTTCAGAAGCTGAGGTCTTCATGCACGTGGACTGCCTCATCCTGCTCCATTGTGGTGCCCCGTGGATTCAAACCTCTAAACTTCTGGTCAGCAGCCTAGTGTGTAACCATTGTTCCACCAGAACTCCTTTACTTAAGGAAAAACAGACTCAGAAATAAGACTTGGGGAGCAGTGTTTTGAGTTGAGACTCTTGTCCAGTTTACCCTCCCTTAAGGTGCCCATCTCCATCTCCGATCACCAGTCCCAGCCTCTGACATGGGTCAGCTTTGCCTAATGATGGAGGGCAGTGGAATCGCCCTGCCCATGGGCTTCAAGGCTGTAAATGCTTACAGAACACACTGCCTCTTTCTCCTGTCATCAGCTAGTGCGCTCAAAGCCACCGGCTGCCCCAAGGAAGGGTCCTCCAGAGAGATTCACCATCTCAGCCTCTGACGGAGGGCCACCGGGAGTTGGAACTGGTGGCATGGGTCTCAATTTGTCATGTCAAGGTGACAAGTAGGGTAGGAGGTGTGGGGGTGGGCTCTGGAGCAGACCCCAGGGTCACGTGTGTACATGGGTGCTGTGGAGGTCCACTGTGGGTGGCACTAGCTTTCTGCAGCAAGATCAGCGTCGTCTGGTGGGGGAGCAGGTGGGGCAGGGAGGGGCTGCTCTGGGCAGTGTTGGGGTGCTTCCACCTCTGAGAGGAGTCCTCCGCCCCAGATAGGGATTCATGGACGACACCCCAGTGTCCTTGGCTCTTGGTAGAATGTTCTACACCAGTACTTCTCGAACTTTCAAATTCTCTCATTTGAGGTTGGGGTTGAGAGCCTTTCTGAGCTGCTCACTACCAGAGCTGCTGCTGTCCACTGCCACCCCCACATGGAGCATCCAGGGCCCCTCACCACTTGGAGCTTCCCAGGGACTGAGGGCTGGATACCCCAGTCACCTGCTCATGACCAGAACCGGCTTCCTTCCTTCTCAGACTGAACACATGGCTCTAGTCGCAACCAGTGAGTGCCCCAGGTGTAGCTGGGTGGCCTGGAGCAGAAGACTTCACCTTTCTGAGCCTCAGATTCAAACTGGGTGACAGTGAGGTTGTTGGAGATTAAGTGAATGGACATACATAATTAGAATAGAGCTTGGCATTGTGCTCTCCTCTCTCCTCCTCCCCTCCCCTCTCTCCTCCCCTCCTCTCTGCTCTCCCGTCCTCTTCTCCCTCCCCTCCCCATTCTTCCCCTTCCCTCCCCTTTCTTTCCCTTCCCTTCCCTTCCCTCCCTTCCCCTCCCCTCCCCTCGCCTCCCCTTCCCTCCTCTCTCTCTCAAGAGTTAACAGCCTTTGGTCTAGTAGCCTGGCCTGGGACCCACTATAC